TGATTTTAATTGGAATTAGTGAATTAGAAACTTATATTTTGTAATTATTCTGATAATAGTTTTAAACATTTTGATTGGATTTTGGTTTTAAATTTTTTAGCATTATGTTGGTTTTAAAAAATAACTGAAAATAAAAAGTTAGATTACAACTAAACAAATTTTTTAATAAATGTGATACATCAATTGTTTTCCTATAATATATGTGTACATAATAAACTATTTGTAAACCTAACTACTAAAAAAATAATTTCCTTAATGATATATTACTTTGTTAACTTATTTTACTCTCATAATATATGTATAAGTTTATCACAACTTTTCCTTTAGTTATCAACCGGGCCGAAAACATCTTCGGAGATTCCACCCGGAAGAAGAAATCAACCGTTTGTGTATTGAGGTATATTTTAATATCCTTTAGCTTTATATAATTATTTATTTCAAATAATAAATTATAAGTTTTTTTTAATTTGTTTAGTAAATTCCTTTAATCTAAGGTCGGAAACCCGGTATAAGAATTCTTGTGTCATAAGACGGGAGTATCTCTTCGGCATTTCCTCGAGATAATGAACTTGTTCAACAACTTAAAGATCTTAACCGGATTATAAAAGAAAAAGATGAAGCGGTCGAAGAATTGAAGCAAAAAAATCCAAGATTACGGAGCAATTCACCGAGACAATTCCCGCCTCCCTAAAAGTATTTTGTTTTTTGTTTTTCAAAACTATTTTAATTTTTTGGTAATTTTAATTTATTTGGATAATTTGTATTTGGATATCTTATTTTTGGAATTTTGTTATTTTATTAATAGTGTATAATTTATATTTTGGTAATTATAATTACAAATTTTTAATTTGGTTCGAAATATCCGTCGTCGCCGGAAATTCCTCGGAAAAGCATGTCCTCAGAAAGTTCTCAGAAACAACACCTCTCGGAAATCCCTCGGAAATATTACCTCTGGGAAATCCCTCGGAAATATTGCCTCGGAAATCCGTTGGAAATTTTGCGTCCTTGGAAATCCTTCGGAAATTAAGCTTCCTTGGAAAGCCCTCGGAAATAGCTGACCCTTGGAAATCCTTCGGAAATTTCCGACGATTTTCCGAGGACATTTTATTTCCGACGAGCGATTTCCGAGGACATTTTTTTGTCGGAAATCCGTTAGAAAGAGCCGTTTCCGAGGGATTATTGATGATTTCGTCCCTCAGAAATAGACTGTTTTCTTGTAGTGTTAGTGCTTTAATATATGTGTCAACATTTTATTGGATAGATGATTTGTGTTTTATAGTATAAAGAATACTAGATTTGGACCCGCACGTACATGCGGGATTGATTTTCAAAACTAAGTTTGATATCATGTTTGCAACATATTACATGTGGTGTTATGTTTATAAATGTAATTATATTAGGAATATTATTCAAATTCATAATCTGAATTCATACCAGTTTAATATTTATTTGTTATTAATTCAGTTTAGACCAAAAAAATAGGATTTGGTTTTGTTATCAACTACATTAAAAAAGTAAAGAAAATGTGGTTTGTTTATTTTGGGACAGGAACCCGTCTCGTCTCGTTCTTTCCTAGATGTGTCATGTTTTTCCATCTTATAACCATGGTTTTAATAATAATTTATCCATTTGAGATAGTGGATTTTAGTCCAACAAATTAAAACAGGTCAATGATTGAGACTTATTTGTAGGTTAATTTATTTCGTATAACATTTGTAACATAAACATACATTGGTCTGTTTTTATTAAGTTTATGAATGCTTGAAATAAGAATCGTTTCACAATAAACTTTGGATCGACAGGATAGCGAATCCAAGTTGAATGTGAATCAGATTAGTAATCATCTTAATTTCCGTTAAACCTGTGAACTATCAAACCGGATGAAAACAAAAAAACTTCCCTTGCTAGATAACCTAAATATATTTCCTAAAAAAAACTTCCCATCCGCTATGCATGCTTCACAACAGATTAAAATAATTTAACCCATAAAAGATCCATTATACATAATCTACATTAGTAAATGGTATGTCCGTATATGTTTTGCTTGAATTCACGTTATCCTAAATTTTTGTCTCTTATTTTATTGAGAATAATTTAAATAATTATTTTTATTTTCCGAATTACTGTTATCTCATGTAGTCTATATTAATAAAAAAGCAGGTCCACATCTCTCCTGCTTGAATTTATGTTTCCCAAAATTCTCGTTACTCCAAATTTTCCTCCTGAATTTTTATTAGGAATAGTTTAGATAATGGTTTTAATTTTCTATTTTATACATTTTTTGTAACTGTTATTTCATATCCTAATATTTGCAACAAAAAGGAAAGTTGAAATTAAATTAAGCTATTAAATTTCATGTTTCTGTATCATACCAGTTATGTTATATTTGAAAGTTGAAGCTGAATTTAATTATCCATATATCCACATTTTTGTTTCCTCAGTTTTATTGTCTCCATCTAGTAGTTATATTATTTACTAATTATTTGTTGACAAAAAGAAGTATGTACTAATTATATGTAATGTTGATTTTATCATTTTCGGTTAATAGAACCAAAAAAAAAAAAAAAATCTGAATCTATCATGGTTTCTTTATGTTGTTTGTTTTTAATACTATTTTTTGTCGACACATTCTGAAATTAAATATGCTGAAAATCGGGTTTGAATTATTTCCATAATATTAGTTTTGGAAATGATTGAGATTTGAGATTTTGAACTTTATGATTAGTATCTATGATATAAATCAATTTTTTTTATATATAAACATAAAATTATGTTACCTATTTTCAAGTGTGGTAATTGGTATGAAGTTTTTTTTAATTGCTTTGTTATATTAGTTACGGATAGTAGTAATTTTGGGGATTTAGATTTTGTTTACGATTTCCTTTACAATTTTTTTAATTTGAAACGACTTTTAAAATATTACAAAGTATGTAATTTATTTATTTTATATTAATTATGGTTAATACTAATTGTGAAGGATCTAGATCTTGTTTCCTTTATATAATTTTAATAATTAAATCCATTTCCTAAATAATTAATAAGAAATTGTATGGATTCCCAAAGTTGCGTTCTTTTTTTTGGTGGAACCCAAAGTTGCGTTCTTGTAATAGGATTTCCTAAATTATTAAACGCTAATTGCCCCTAAAGAATGTTTGATTACAAATTTATTTTATGTTAAAATGACATTATATTTCTTTTTAAAAAAATATCTTGAAATATATTACGATGTTCTAAATTATTTAATTCTAATTGTATCATAAGGAATGTTTGGTACAAATATATTTTCTGTTAAAATGACATAATATTGTTTCTTTTTTAAAGGGATTCTTTAATATATTTATTTTCTGTTAAAATCATTTATTTTGCTGTCAATAATTCTATTTGGTTATAGGTTTAGGATTACATAAAATGTAGATTTTCTTTTTAATTCTGTTTGGTTACACTTATAAAAAATGCTCCCCTTTTAATAGTATAGATATAATGCAATTATATAAGTTTACATCTATACAATTGCAAATTTAATAGAACGATTTTTATTGTAGCAAATTTAAATTATTTTCATATTGAGAATTATAATGGTTTTTTTGTTTAAAAAAAAATCTCAAATATGCATGTTTATTAGACCTGAATCCAACGGATCAACCCAAGAGCTGCTGGTTTTTGCGACCAAACAGTGAAACAGACCAAAATAGCATTTTCTTGTTATTTTTTTTAATAACTAATTTGAGTGACATTTCATGTAGGGAATTTTATCTATTAATGCCATTTTGGAAACTCAAAATTGTGGAAGTACCATTATCAATAATGCCTTTCAAAACATGCCACAAGGAGGGAAATTTGGACGATTTTGCCCTCAGCATTGTTGAGTGAGTGTTGAGTGAGTTTTAGAAAAATAGGAAGGAAGGAAGACAAAAGAATCTGGCTTTTACGCACATTAATCAATAGACAAGTTTTTTTTGTCGACATTCTTTGATTTTTGTCCACACTCGATTATAGACAATTTATTTTCTATTCATCTAACATATGTATTATGGACAAGTTCGTTTATGAAAAACTAGATTTACTTTACTCTATACAAGTGTACATCTAGATAGATCTTTGATGGATATCTTCCATAGATGCATCACTTGTTTCATCTTCTACTCAATTATTTGTGGTTTCAAGAGAACTGTGGGATAGACAAGTTTAGTCTACCGATTCATTCGGGTCTATCAGATCTGGTCCATCGGATCTCGTCTGGCGGAACTGGTTTACCGGATCTGGTCCCCAGGAATTTGTCTGCTGGACTGTGGTATGCCGGATTGTGGTCTGCCGGAACTGACTGTGGTCTGCCGGAACTCGTCTGCTGGAGTTATGGTTTGTTGAAACTGGTCCGTCGAATCTGGTCTGCCAAAGCTGGTCTACGAAGCTGGTTATAGTTCACCGGAATTGGTTATGGTCCGCCGGATCTGGTCCGTCGGAGTTCGTCCGTCAAAGTTCGTCCGTCGGATCTGGTCTGTCGGTACTGTGTGTTGTTGGAATAAGAAAAAAAAAGATGAAGATGAAGATGAAGAAGAAGAGAGAAGTAATGAGGTAAGTTGGTCTTTTTACAAAGTTCTTGTGTCAGGCGGGAGAAGGGATTTCTTTAAATGGCAATCATTAGAAGTTTTGTTACTGTTTAGGGCATAGCGCACAATTTTCTCTTTCATGTAATAATAGCCAACTTTAATTTATTTTTTTCTCAGATTTTAGATTTTAAAAAATAATTAATAATATTTTAATTATATAACTAACTAAAATTCCAATTCTTCGTCTTTCTTTGATCGTTAAAAAATTCGAGTTTGGTTGAAATTCCTATCAAAACCTACTTGTTTTAATTGTCACCATATTTACTCGGTGTGGTCTCTTGGAACACATACTTGTATGCATCCAATGAAATCATCGGAACGAGCTACAACTATTAGATTTAGTGGGTATGTATTTGTTATATACATATACTTGATCGTACATACTTGTGCAGCTACGTAAAAAGAGTATTAAAATGAAATTTTAGAAACATAGATGCACGAGAAAAACTAAGAAACAAATTTGTGAAACTAAGACATGCCGCCAGTACTAAGCATTAGAAAGCAAAAAACAACAAAAGAACAGAATGAAAAAGGTTTTGTAGTGTTTGACCAAAAAAGAAAACAAAAAGAGAGGAGAAAAGTTTGTAGTAAGCTTGGAGACAAAGCTTTGGTGTCAACCTTCTATTGCTTCTTCTTCTTCTCGAATGGGTAATTTTTTTTCACCGGAATCTTTACTTGCCTGAACAGAGAACCTTGGCCTTTCTTGATGTTCCGGCGAACCAAACCAAATCCCTGCTGCCCCCATCCGACACCCCAACTATTATGTATAATCCAATATGGGCCGCGATGATCTTCGTCATAGCCCACAATGAGAACAGCGTGAGATCCTAACGGTGTGGACGCCGGAGGCCTTCTTATGTTATAAATCCCCTGCAAGATTTAAAAAGAGAAACCAATAGAAATATTTTGTTAAACGATCTAGAATGTTCACTTACATGTGTCAGAAGACTTTAAAGAAACTTACATGTGTCAGAAGACTTTAAAGAAACGATCTAGAATGTTCACTTACATTTGTATAGTTTGCCAGCTCATTGTTTAATTGCAGAATACCAACCACTGGTTGTCTTCTCACCATACGAACAAGCTCAATATCATCAACATCATAGTTGGTAACGATGTCATCTATCAACATTCCAGCTACCTAAATTTTTCAACATATTAACACAATTTAAGACTTCAACTATATATATAAACACATACTTTTAATAGTGTAATACCAACTTACATCATCTCCATGCTCACATGTAGAAGCAGTACGGGCATAAGAGCATTGTCCCTCTTCTAACACACCGTGTTCTTTTAAATGAGAGTCAGACTTTAGAGGGTCCAACAGTCCAGTGGCGGTATACTTCACATTATTTCTCAAATGCTGAATAGAAAATGTTCTTTGGTCGCTGAGTCGCCTACCTATGTTAAAAAGAGCCTCAATAGCTCTAATAATTGCGATTGCCCAACAGATTGCTGCAGTAAAAGGCATTAATTAATGATAAGAGAGAGATATGTCTTGTCCTTTACAGAGCTATTAGCATTAATGATTATAATATAATCAGAAAGTCACCGCATCTAAGTTTAATACCTTTGTAACTATACCTACAATAGCTATTAACATTAATTACTAGAAATAACATATAGATACACGTAGCCCTGGGCGTTCGGGGGCCCGTTCGGGTTCGGAATTGAGACCCTTGATCACTACCAAGACCATTCAATTCCTTAAACCTAAAATATCATTTAATCAACCTTCCATTTCTGCATTGGATATTTTTTAATAACTATAACAGAAATAAAGTACCTTCATCTCTTTGATCTAGTACATTGCTAACAATGCCTTGGTAATCAGACCAGTTCCACCTCCTAGGGGGCTCGTCCTATTTAGAGAATGATAGAGTTGTTATATGTTAACAGTTTTTAAAAAAACTTACATCAGAAGATTATGTTGAACTGAAGTTACTTACATATTCCCAGTCCCATCTAGGCACGGTAATTGTTTTCCCCATTTCAGCCTCCTGTAACAACAATTAAAAACCCTTATTAAAATATGACGGTTTTTTTTATTTGGTAACACCATGTAACGAAATGAGTGTGTACACATATTTCTTACCATATATCTTCGGTTACGTGGCTTCTCGTTTTCATATAGAGGTAGTATCTCTTTTCCTTTACCCTAAACAAAAGAACAAAGATGAATATGCACGCTTTAGCATCATATTTGCATAATTGAATCCAGTTCCTTATAAGATAGAAAAATGGCAAAGCAGATTTATTAACCTTTTTCTTGTCATCGTCTTTGCCACTTCCCCTTTTACCTCCCAGCTCACCCCTATCTTGATTCTCCATATCTAGGTAAATATTACACAAGTTTTGTCTTAGAACTATAATTAACTCGCATGGTCAAACACAAATTCCTTATCTGCTGAAGTTGGTTGCAATACTTTCATGCCAAAATCCAAATGCAAATTGTATGAAACTAAATGGTAGTCTAAACTTCTGTTTAAACAAGCTAAATAACATACGAAGTATACCAACATATGAAAAATGTTCCATCTTAAAACTGAAGGATTGACAGAACCAGTATAAGTGTGAACATCGTTTGCATTCATAGATCATCTTCAAAAAACTAAAAAAGCTGAAGGCATGTACTCAAACGAAAGATTTTCAATCAAAGAAGACCATCTCTAACTAAGCTTAAGAACAGTTTTGACAAATCTTGCTCAAAACAGTTGTAAAACAAATGAGAATTACCAGATCTGGATACCAGAGTGATCAAACTTTTAAGCAGAGAAGACCAACTCTTCACTAATCTATAAGAGCAACGTCAAGAACAATTTAACACATCTCCTTCTTTACGGAGACGATGGAGTTAACAACAGTTGCGGAGACCTAAAACGCAAAATCGGAAACAGAGAGAGACCACCCAACTCTAACTATAAGCAACGTTAAGAACAATTTAAAAGAGCTCCTTCCTTACGGAGACGATCGGAGTTAAAGAACAGTTCAAACAAGCAAATCTGGAAACCTTGGGGGAAATTAAAATCTAGCCAGAGAAGGAACAGATCAATCTACTACCAAATCAGTAAAATCATCAACAAAATTAGAGCAATCGGGAAACCTTATCACCGGAGATACTCGGGGAGAAGCTTCGCAGCGACGAGAGCTTTGACGGAAACTTAACAACCTCAGAATCGCTTGTGATAATGATGATGATGATGATGAACTATATATTTATATACTCAATGGGCTTAATCAATAAGCACTGAACACATCATCATTTCACTCAATGGGCTTGTGATGCAATTTTAAGGAATCGCTGTTAAGAGTCGCAACTTGGAACAGATTTACAATAATCGCCATCGGGTAAAAGTGATGAAATTCCCTAAACAAAAAGGTAAACAAATAATTGTTCAAGAACGATAAAACAGAAATGTAAACTGAAGACTCTTGATACGCAAAAAATAGAAAGAATATGAAACCAGAAGAAGAGTTTTTTTTAGGATGATGAAAAGTGACAGGGGAGAAGAAGTAGTAGAAGACAGATTGGTGCAGAAGATTTTGATATATATATTAGTTGTTGACGCGCGCTCAGTTTAATATTTTATTTATTATTTTATTATTTTTTTATAATTTTTTTAATTAGATATTTTCTGATTTTTTTTGTTTTTCTTTTCTGTTTTTGTTACAATTTCAAGCGTTTAACAATAATCATGTAAATTCTTAACAAAAAAAAAGAAGACAATAATCACGTAAATCACTTTATACAGTTATTGAAAATTCTTAAAGATGAATGTTTAAAACGAACTTCTTGGAAACCTCCTTTCTGCAAACGTCCACACTAGCACGCGGTTTCATATTTTTTTTTCTTAAAGAAAGGTTTGTTTCTCTAAATTAGTATTATTAATTTATCAGTAAAAATTTTAACAAGTATAATTCTAAACTTTAAATTTCTAAACTAAAATTAAAAATTAAAATTATGATTTTTAATTTTATTACATATATAAATGCAATTTAAAATTTAAAATTACAACTTTTGATTATATTTATAAATACAGCTGTAGTGATTACAATTACAATATGAGCAAATTTACATATATAATTACAATTACATTTAATATTAAAAAGTGTGAATTTTAATTTCAAATTTAAAATTATAATTGTAATCATTTCATAGTGTCTTATTAGTTGGAAAAATTAAAATCACAGTATTAAAACGACGTCGTTTTATCGTACAAAATGTCATTCACTCTCACGCTCTGAGTCAACATCTCACTCTAACACATGGCATATGAGTCAGTATGTTAATATGGATTCTAAAATTGGTACTATTTGTACAAATTGGGTACGAAATTTGAATTTTGTTTAAGTTTGGGTAGCAAATCAGACTGCATTTTTGCATAGGTAGAACTTAGACGACCGAAATAGAAATGTAAATTGAAGATTTTTAATAGGCAAAAAATAGAAAGAATATGAAAACCAGAAGAAGTGTTTTTAATGATGATGAATAGTGACAAGGAGAAAAAGTAGAAGACAGATTGATTTAGAAGATTTTGATATATATATACTAGTTATTGACTCATGTGTCCTTTAAAGCTTATTTATCCACTATTGTTTTAATTTTAGTAACAATATCTTTAAAGCTTATTTATCCACTAAAAGACTTGAGTAAAATATTCTAGTAACAAAATGTATTCTAAATAAAAAGTTTAAGTATTATTAATATTTTAAGTTTTAACTATATAGAAAGTACAAAAAGTTTAAACAAAAGTACTTTTGACTTTGCCAAAATTTATAAACATGAGTTATGCGAAAATACGTGTAGAAGCAATTATTACAAAGTTGTATTTGTTTTAGAAATAACATTTATACACGCGTTAAATCCAAAAATATGATACGGCTGGTTGTAAGACGAGACGTGTTTGAGCCGATATAACATTTGCATGGTATTAAAATTGATGAGTTAAGATCAGTGGCCAAAAATATAATATGAAAATCAGTGCGATAATTAATAATTATAAACCAATAATGAAGGGTGTATTTTGTGGGTCTTGGCAGTTACAAATGAGAAGAAGTGTTCCTTAGACCATCTCCAATGTAAATCTCTATTTTTTTCTCTAAAATAGAGCACTGTTTTGCTCTAATGTATTATTCTATTTCTTATTCTAAAATAAAGGTAGTATAAAAAATAGAGTAGAGAATAGAGTTGCTCTATATTTAGAGGAACTTTATAATTTACTCTATTTCAGAGTAAGATATAGAGTAGAGTTGGAGCAAATGTTACTCTAAAATAGAGTGGGGTTGGAGATACCCTTACATTGGATCAAAACGATGCTCTATTTTAAAGTTATCTATTTTAGAGAAAAAAATAGAGATTTACATTGGAGATGGTCTAAGGAACACTTCTTCTCATTTGTAACTGCCAAGACCCACAAAATACACCCTTCATTATTGGTTTATAATTATTAATTATCGCACTGATTTTCATATTATATTTTTGGCCACTGATCTTAACTCATCAATTTTAATAGAGATTTACATTAGAGATGGTTTAATATTTTATTTCTTACTTTAAAATATGACAAATATGATCCTTCAGCACCTAATCAGATCAAGATCAAGTTGTCGACATGGGTGTTGTTAGCATGAAGGGTGGAGATGGAGAACACAGTTATGCAAATAACTCTGAGGTGCAGGTAATAATTAGTACTTCTCTATATATCATACTAGTCAGTTGCTCGCGCTACGTGCGAGAATTTTATTACTTTGTTTATGAGTAATTGATTCGTGTTTTATTTCGTACTTATTTTCTCCACTATAACATATTTTTATTTTCTATATCATGTTGTGTTTGTATAGAAAATCTATTTTATTTTAGTTTCGATAGTAGTTGAGAAATTAAGTGTCTATAATATAAATCGATGTGTAAACATAAACAAAAGTGTTATGGAGAGTTGTAGAAAAATGTGTTATTAAGGCTCCCACCAAATATAGATCTTGATGATATTAATATTGTGAATCCTTTTAATATGTTAGTCCAAAAGTTGAGAATGATTTGTGGATTTTGCGCGGATTGTTGTATTTTTTATTTATTGATTTGGCGATCTCTTGTTTATTATCTATTTATTTTGGTTTGTTATGTTTTTGTTTGTTATTTTTATTTGTTATTTTTTTGTTATATTTGTTATTTGTTATTTTTATTTAACATATATATTAGTATAATCTACTTTATACTAATTTAACATATTCATTTTTTTTTTTTGAAAAAACTTGTTTACATGTGTATAAATCTTTAACTTAAATGATAAAATGGTATAAATAAATTATTAAAATTAAATAGTAAAATGATGTGGATGATGTTTGAAAGGACTTTTCATATTTCTTTTTGAAAAACTTGTTTACATGTGTATAAATATTTAAATTAAAGAATAAAATGATATAAATAAATTATTAAAATTAAATAATAAAATGATGTGAATGATGATTAGGATGATGAGGTGGCTTAAGGAGAATAGAGCAAAGTTAACTTTATATATATATATGAGCCTTAAACTTTAGCAAATATATATTGCATATCAATAATTCAACCTTAGATGATCTAAATTATATCTTCATATTTTGCTTTGTGTCTCTCTTTCTTTTTTTTTTCTCGCATCTTATGTGTATTTTTGTTGATTCAAGCTTTTTTTTTTTTTTTTTTCATATATATGATTAGATTTCACTTTTTAACTTCTTAGGGAAGTCTTGCTTCTAATGCAAAACCGGTGGTGGTGAAAAATGTAAAAGAAATGATAGTGAAAATGGATTTTCCGGGGTGCATCAAAGTAGCCGATTTGGGATGTTGTTCCGGAGAAAACACATTCTTGGCTATGTCCGAAATCGTTAACACAATCATAGAAACATACCAACAAAAAGGTCAAAACCCACCAGAGATCGATTGTTGTCTGAACGATCTTCCAGACAACGACTTCAATGCAACTTTCAAGTTGGTTCCTTCCTTCCACGAGAAGCTGATGAAGACGGATGTTAAAGCAAAGTGTTTCGTCTTAGGACTCCCAGGCTCATTCTACACAAGACCTTTTCCAAGCAATTCACTTCATTTTGTGCATTCTTCTTACAGTCTTCATTGGCTTTCTAATGTCCCTGATGGCCTTGAGGAAAACAAGAAGAACGTCTATCTTAAAAGTCCATGCCTTCCAAGTTTGTACGAGAGTTATTTGAAACAGTTCAAGAATGACTTCTCAATGTTTCTGAGAATGCGTGCGGAAGAGACAATGCCTAACGCACGTATGGCTGTTGCTTTAATGGGGAGAAAAACATTGCACCCTTTGTCCGAAGATTGTTTTCAAGGTTGGTCGTTGGTATCTGATTCTCTCCTCGATTTGGCGTCTGAGGTACTCACTATAATTAAACTTCTTAATTCATTTTGGTAAACCAAATATTTCTATATATATAAAGTTAACTTTGCTCTCTTCTCCTTCAGCCACATCACCTGCCACGTCATCCGCCACATCATCATTTTTTTTTCTTTCTTACCTATAATATAAATATCATTAAAATTAAAATTAAAATTTTACAAAAAGAAACCTACAAGAAAATAACCAAGAAAAAAAAACAAAAACAAAGCTACTGTATAATTAAGTAAGATTTGGGTTAACGAATCCATAAAAGCATGAGCGTGTGCTAACGCTTCCTTAGTGTCCTTGACGATATGATATTGCGAATTTCGCGTCGATCAACTTGAAAACTACTTGAAGAGACAAACGCTCGGACTTATGCAAGACGTTGTTGCGTTGCCGTCAAATGATGTAGACTATCTTTTAAGATGTTAGCTTCTGGACGAGATCAAGGACTATTGAAGAAGAGAGTCGAGTCCAAGAGAGCAATTTTGACGACGAAGCGAAAAGTCACTGTCAAGGGCAGAGCCTAGAAAAGACCAACATCCAAAGCTCGACAATAAAATCAGAAGAAAGGAAGAGATGGTCATTCCGAAACAAACAACCATAGAGAACACTCTAAAGACTGAATCTATCCCAAGGAAACAAGTCTTTGCCACGTGAGCCATCTATCTAGGTGACTTACCCACATATGGAAAGTTACATTTGGGACAACCCTTTTGAACCAAACATAATATGTCCAACCCTTTTCTGTTTCCCGAGGTCTCAGTGCTTCCGAAGTCTTGGCTGAGGTAATCTGATGACACCTTTCATCACATGCACATTGTGAGGACAAATCATCAACCAATATGAAAAATAGAATAACAAAAAATGACAATAATAAAGAAAATCAAAACAAACGTTACAAAATAAATAAAATTATAAACTTCCCGCGCGTAGCGCGGGTCAACAACTAGTATCATATAAAAGTGAGTAAGCAACATATAGTTAAAGCATAAAGAAGGTAAATAACTACAGTATTATGTTTGCATCTACGGTTGAGAGTAAACTATAGTTCATGCACCCAATTTCATTTTTTAG